GGGAAAGTCTCGGGTCTGATCCAACCCCTTCCCGTCCCTCTCCCGCATTATAAGCATCTTCAGTGTCTCTCCGAGCCTGAGACCCCGCCCCCTGAAATTCCGAGGCGGGGCCACGCCCGAGTGCCCGCCCTCTATGCAAATATCTCGTCCCGTCCAATCAGCTCCCGGGGGCAGGGCCGCCGGCTCCGAAGGCACCTGTGGCCGCGGGACGCTGGTCACTCTGTGCGGCTGCTGCAGGTCCGTGCACACGCGTCCGAGGGGCCAGGCGGAGCAGGTGCGTGGGGCATCCGGACGAGGCTTGTCTGGACGAAAAAAAAACGTGCCGTCCCTTGATTGTCATCTGTGGGCTGGGCTGGGCTGGGCTGGGCGTGGAGGTCTGAGTGCCGCTGTGTTTTGAAAGTTGTGTGTCTAAGAGGTGAGTCCTAGGATTGTGAGTTCAGGGGTTGTGTGTCCAAAGGGTGTGAACTGAGGGGTGCGAGCCTAAGGGGCAGATTGTGTCAGAGGGGTTGTGAGTCCTACGGTTGTGTGTCTGAACGGTCGTGTGTCCAAGGGGTGTGTGTCTGCGGGTTTTGATGTCAGTTGGGGAGGACTTGTGTGTCCAAAGTTGTGGTGCCCCAGCCCCTGCTGTGTGCGTCCGTCAGCTTTTCTGGTCTGTGGGCTGCAGTGTCCTCCTCTCCAGAAGCACACCCCTGTCCCGTACCCTTGAGGCTCCTGTGCCTAACCCCGTGCCTTCCTGCTGCACCTGTACCTTCATGTGTCATGGCCCCAGACCCGCATGTGGCGTGACCATCTCTGTGTGCCTGTGACTGCTCAGACCCTCCCTGCCCCATGGTATCTGCCTCATGCAGCAAATGTGGGGCCTCTGTTGGACTCACAGAGTGCCCATGTGGTGGGTACAGAGCCTGGGATGGTGCCTCGAAGCGGGGCTACTGCCTTCCCTGTCCCTCAGTGTCCCCCTCTGGTACATGGGTCCGGGAATAACAGTGCACACATGACAAACTGGGGGCTGTTACTTTCATGGTCACGGTTCCTCTTCCCACCTTCCTCAGAGTCCAGAGCTGCAGATGTTGGTCAGTGACCGGGGTCCCTGGCCACCCCCAGTCCTCAGCCATACACCTGAGAAGTCAGAAATACGCCTGGCTGGGGTGCTCAGTGATTGAGCATCGACCTATGAACCAGGCGGTCATGGTTAGACTCCCGGCAGGGCACATGCCCGGGTTGTGGTCTTGATCCCAGTGGGCATGTGCAGGAGGCAGCCGATCAACGATTCTCTCTCATTATTGATGTTTCTAGCTCTCCCTCTCCCTTCCTCTCTGAAATCAATTTTTTTTTTTTAAATATATTTTATTGATTTTTTACAGAGAGGAAGTGAGAGATATAGAAAGTTAGAAACATCGATGAGAGAGAAACATCGATCAGCCGCCTCCTGCACATCTAGTGGGGATGTGCCCGCAACCCACGTACATGCCCTTGACCGGAATCGAACCCGGGACCCTTCAGTCCGCAAGCCGACGCTCTATCCACTGAGCCAAACCGGTTTCGGCTCTGAAATCAATTTTTAAAAAAAGATTTATAGAAATAGCTGAGGCTTCCTGCCTAGCCTGACCAAGAAACCCTCATTGGGGAATATCTGGACCTTTGGCGTCTGGGTACAAGAACTCTTTTGGGGAGAAGGAACTAGGTCACTGATGGCGAACCTATGGCACGCGTGTCAGAGGAGACACGTGAACTCATTTTTTTGGTTGATTTTTCTTTGTTAAATGGCATTTAAATATATAAAATAAACATTAAAAATATAAATCTTTGTTTTACTATGGTTGCAAATATCAAAAAATTTCTATATGTGACACGGCACCAGAGTTAAGTTAGGGTTTTTCAAAATGCTGACACACCAAGCTCAAACGGTTCGCCATCACTGAACTAGGTTCACAGAAGTATTTAGACTTGGAAGGATTGGTGTGTGGGATTTGAAGCAGCCTCTCTCTCGCCTGTCCCGTGCCTGCCTCCCACCACCCCTCTGAGCTGAGGGGTGAATCTTGGCTTCCAGGGAATGGAAGTTCTAGAGCTGGAAGCTGACTATCTGGTCTGAAATTCCCACTTTGCAGGTGGGAAGACTGAGGTCAGGTACAGACATGCAGGCACTTCAGAGAAAGGATGGGGCACATGATGCCCCCACGCCAGCTCTCTGAGAGAGCAAAAGCCAGGCGCTCCAGCCCTTTGATGGCCTGACAGGTTGCTGCCCCGCTCTGAGCTCCGTGGCCACCCCTGTGACCTGAACAAGTTGAGCTCCATCTTACTTCCCATCTCCAAGTAATGATGTATTTCATTAAATCATTACCCAACCAAGCAGACATCTGGAAAATGCAAATTAAGAGGAGAAAGGGAATTAAAATCATTTATTGCCCAACTCAGATGCAATGAATGTAGGCATGTTGGAGGTTTGGCCTTCTGGAAGATTTGAGGCACGTGCACCTGGAGACAGATGTCATTTTTTAAAAAATATATTTTATTGATTTTTTACAGAGAGGAAGGGAGAGGGATAGAGAGTTAGAAACATCGATGAGAGAGAAACATTGATCAGCTGCCTCCTGCACACTCCCTACTGGGAATGTGCCCACAACCAAGGTACATGCCCTTGACGGGAATCGAACCTGGGACCTTTCAGTCCGCAGGCCGACGCTCTATCCCCTGAGCCAAACGTCCTGGTTGTTCTGTTGGTTGAGTCATCTAACTTCTCCAAAGAGAGACTCGATGGGTCTTGATGTGTGGCCTGGGAAGAAGCCCACTTCACCCTGTGTAAAACGGGGCAGCCGTCTCCGCTTCACTGGGCTGTCTGTGGGTCAGGCAGGCCCTGTGTGTAAATGAGGTGGCGCGTGGGCCCAGGCGCAAGGTGCCATCCGAACTGTGACCAAGCAGAGGTGCCTGTGAGCCCCATCCAGGTCCACCTCACCCTACCCTCCATCAGGGGCCAGGGAGGCCTCCGGTCCATTGGCTTCCCTGTTCTGTTCTGCAGGCTCAGGTTCACCCAAGATCAAGGCGGGGACCTTGGGTGGGAAAACTTCGAGGCTGTTTGGCATAAGGAGCCACTACCTTGTCCACTTTCCACACCCACAGCCCCCACTGCCTCCTGGTGGACGCTGTCCCAACCTCCTGCCCAGACAAGGCTTCTCCCTCCTACAGCCACTGGTTCTGCTGAAAATCCTGAGTCAGACCCAGCCCTCCCTGCTCATGTGCCCCTTACGGCTCCCCATTGCTCTATAGTCCGCCCTCCCACCCTGATCCCCCAGGCTCCTTGCAGCCTCCCTGCCCTCCTTGGCCCTGCCTCACCCTGCCCCTCACTCACCCTGTCCCAGCCACACCGGCCTTCCCTTATGTCTGGAACCCACCCAGCTCCCACCTCCGGGCCTTTGCATCTACCATTCCACAGGGCTGGGGTCCTCTCATCCTTGAGGCCCCCTTTTCAGACAAGCCCTCTGGCCCCTCTGTTCAAAGCAGCTCCTTCCACCACCCCCCCCCCCCCCT